CTGAATGCATTTTGTACATTTTCTGCACTGATTTTGAGGAAAAATTTGATGAATTCTGAACATAGTCAAATGTGTTAAACAGACTTAAAGAATTAGGGTCAAAATTGTTAATTGCTGAATCTGTTGAGGTTCAGTTCGGTTTTATTCCATAAAAGCTAATAGGATGTATAAATATCTATACATTATTCATTTGGCTTTAGTTTTTTTAGTTTTTAATTATTAATATTATTATTAGTTGCCTGTTTTGTTATTTTGTTATACGATGCACTAATGCTTAACTCCAGAAAAAAAAGGAAAAAATAAATACATAAATAAATTTAAATTAATGAATAGATAGATAGATAGATAGATAGATAGATAGATAGATAGATAGATAGATAGATAGATAGATAGATAGATATTTTTATTTAATAGATTGGTAGGTTATAAAATGACAGTGTTATAAAATCATGTTTATGACAGAAAAGTCAAGGGACATGTTCATCACCATATTTAAAAAAAAATGATCCATTAGCAAATTAGCTAAAACATTTCATTACAAAAAATGCCAAGTGCACAGGATGTAGGACATCATAAATTGTGTGCGATCAAAATTTTGCTGAACTTTGCAAAGCTTTCTATGGAAAATAATATATCATTCAAAGATCTACGATCAAATTTAGCCAGCGCAAACCCTCTGTAAGATTGACTAAAGACATGCAGTAAAAAAAAAAAAAAAAGGTGTGGACATTTTGCAACTGTCCTTACTTCATATGCATTTGCAGGAGTTTCCCTTTCAGACACAACATTTTTGGGAGGAGAGTATTTAAAATAATAATACAAGATGATTTACTAAAGTTTGCGGTTGGCAATTTGCTTATATTTGCGTTATTATTTAACGCACCCCAAAAAAGCATGTCTTAGTCCATTTTGCTCCTGTATTGTTAGTAGATTCCCCACACCTAATTATCATCAGCTCTGCTCGCTTGTGACCCTACACTAATTTGGTACACTCCGCTGGTTGGGTGTGTGTGTGTGCTTGTGAAATACTCACACACTCTTCCTCTTGCACCAGATGCACTAGTTTCTGCAGAACCTCGTCCAGAACCCTGCAAGCACAGGAAATAGCAGGATTTACACACACACACACACCTATAAACTCCATCAACTCCAAGATTAATGACACTTCACACACCTCCCCTCAGTCCCTCCTCTGCCTCCCTGAGAGCCTCCTACTGTGTGCTCACATTGGGTTTGTGATTGCAGATGGTTTCACAGGCTTTTCTAACCTGCTTACCTCAACTGCCTGTCTCAGAGTGGATATCTGTTGTAATCTGTGTACTGCACGTAAGCTCTATCAACATCTACTCTATGTCATTCCAATTCATTTGGAATAAACCCTCAATCTGTGAAAACAAACATACGACGCTTGCAGTAATGCATTTACAATGGAAGCATAAAAGGGAAGCAGGCAGCAGCATAAAAGTGTTTGAAAATTAAAACTGAAAATGGTATGGTAGAATCACGTACAAACAATCTAGAAAGTTAAAACAACCTTTCAGCTTGAGTTTAATGTTTTAAAACTGATTACAAAAAAACAAAAACTGATTTTGAGATGTAGGAACATGGAAAGGGGGTAACAGCTCATATTGGACTGTTTATATGGATTAAACTCCACCCATATGAATGACTAACATATTTCATTAACATATAATTAGAATAGAACGCAACAGTGACTGCCCTTTTTTCAGCCATTTTAATTTTGGAAATATTTATAAATTTTCTCCATAGGGATTTAAATACAGTCAACAAATACAGTCATTTGTGAGTATAAAAACAATTTATTTGGAAAAATTGCAAAAAAAAAGAAAAAAAAATGTATTATTAAATTATAAATGATATATTATATATATATACAGTATATATGTATGTGTGTGTGTGACCCTGGACCACAAAACCAGTCATAAGTAGCTGGGTATATTTGTAGCAATAGCCAAAAATACATTGTATGGGTCAAAATTTTTAGATTTTTCTTTTATGCCAAAAATCATTAGGATTTTAAGTAAAGATCATGTTAAATTAAGATATTTTGTAAATTTCCTACCGTAAATAGGCCTATATCAAAACTTAATTTTTGATTAGTAATATACATGGCTAAGAACATAAGTTGGACAACTTTAAAGGCGATTTTCTCAATAATTTTTTTGCACACCTCAGATTTCAGATTATCAAATAGTTGTATCTCAGCCAAATATTGTCCTATTATAACAAACCATAAATCAATGGAAAGCTTATTTATTCCACTTAAAGATGATGTATAAATCTCAATTTCGAAAAACAATTTCTGGTTTTGTGATCCAGGGTCAGCTATAGATATGCTTTTTGTATATATATATATATATATATATATATATATATATATATATATATATATATATATATATATATATATATA